TTAGAAATCCCACCAAATCTTAAAAAGTCTTAACAAATCATAGTCTCAAATAAGTTAAATACCTCATGATCTTGTAAGACTCTAAAAAATCTCAATTAAATACCCCAAGACTTTTAAAAGTCTTACTAAATTAAATACATTAGGATTTCTACAGTTTTAAAAAGTCCTTAGAAATCCTAATTGTATACACTCCCTAATATTTTCAAGTCATTTCGATTAGTGGCACGAGAACAACTTACATACAATTGGTCGTTACTGAATATCGACTTATTCAAGAACATGCCAACATGTGATAACGACTAACCGTGACTCTTGTTAATTGCCATGACATAAGAAACCATTAGGAAAACCGCCTCCGCTGAAATTTGAGAGGTACTCTAACGTCAGAAGGTATTAGAGTCATCTGAGGTATCAATACTTTCTCTCTTGTATTAGATCCAATAAACACCTTATATTCAAGCACATGGGTGGAGAGCTTTCTAACAACCATTCTTGTACATTGCACAACCTATTCGTCAATGTTCCACAACAACATGACTAAGGTTCTTATCTTAAGATTCAACTCATGGTTCGACATTTCAGAAATCTAATAGTATTAAAAAACTCGGGGTGTGGAGATCGCAGAAAAAAAAGTTATTGAAATAAGATTTCCACGTACTATGAGAGCTCAAGTATGTATGACCATCAATCATGTTCAAAAGACATGACGTACTCATTGATAGATAATGTTAGTAAATTGGGTAAAAAATTTACACGGAAATCCTACGAACTGATATTTTAAATTTTCAGTTCTTACAAATAAAATAAAAATAAAATTATAATATAACTGTAAAATAAATTACAAATCAAAAGCGGAAAGAATATAGCCGAGGCGAGAATATCTCTTTCCGCAAGACGAATACGCCCCGTGTAGTGCTTACGGTTCAAGCATAACGTCCTCAAAGATACAATAACTAACGTCTCGAAATCTGTAGCACATCAGATTTACGAGCTCTGGCGAACTGGAACAAAGTCGAGAACTGAGAACTTAGAAATAAAAGGAATATCCTGAAACTAATAGAAATATCACTTGTTTCTTCTCTTTTGATATTTTTATATCCGATATTTAGAGATATATTTTTTTTTTTCTTTCCTTTCTCTTTCTCTCTTCTCTCTTTCTTTCTTATTTTGGTGTAATTTTTTTTTTTT